CGAGCTTACTTTACCTTGTGCAGGGCAACAGCTAGTTTACATACTGTGTGGACAAGATCAGCTTTACCTGGTCTACGGGATTGAAGCCTATTCCCGGTACAGAATATGTATTACTCCCGGGAAGGTGGGGTTACGTGCTCGATGAGATTCATGTCCGGTGACTGACTAGGATATGGCAGAGTTGTGGTGCCTTTACTTTCTTTTCGTCTTTCAAGCTCAGGAGGATATATGAACACAACAATACATGAACGATTACGTCTTTTATCTTCGTTCTTCAGTAGGTCAGTGGTAAGTTTACGGACTTCTCATACTAAAATTCGGGGTTCGGTTACCCGTAGCGGATAGAGTATAGATAGCCGATTGTGTATCTGTAGGCTAAAATAAACATTTATCTTATTTATTTCCCTTACCGGTTTTGTGGTTTTAACGGTCATTTCTTAGGACGTAATTTGAAAGGGAAATTTTTAGGTTTAATTTTTCCCGCTAAAATATCAACACAAATTACATATATTTCAATATAAATCATTTCAAGCTTATTAATGCACTTTCTTCGTTTTTTAGTTTTATAATTTAACCTGACTATCGTGTTTTATTATTTGTCTACACAGGTTGAAACTAGTGTGTTTCCCTTATATCTGTATATAAATAATCTCTAGAAGAAACCCACTTTTGTTAGATATTAGATAAACATCAAATTAGTTTTAAAAGTTTAATAACTTTAATATTTTGAAATGCAATACTTGGCAAAATATTATAGCAGTTTCTTCTACACCCCAGTGGCACGGCGGTAATTCGGCGGACTTACACCGCTCGAATTCGGGTTTCGATACCCGTGGTGGGCAGAGCATAGCTAGCCCATTGTGTAACTTTGTGCTTAACTACAAACAATACTTTCTTCTTTTTAATGTTCTATTTTTAAGATAATTCCTGCAACAAATTTGATTCAGCATATTTGAAGAAATATACATATAAGAGCAGTATTGCTTATTTTGAGAGAACACCATTTTTCATACAAAAGTGAATCGTATATAAGTTTCATAAAATCATGTTGTTGAAGACCTTTTAAAATCATGTTGTTGAATACCTTTTAAAATCATGTTGTTGAAGTCCTTTTAAAATCATGTTGTTGAAGACCTTTTAAAATCATGTTGTTGAAGACCTTTTATTCAAGTAATCAGGTTGAGATTTTTATTTCACGTTGACGATGTACTGGTATGACCGTAAAGGCTTTATAATGTGACGGTCATTCCCACTGTTCGATTAAAGTAGCCCAAGAGTTGGCGGGGTGTCTTCTCTGTAATCTGTTACTTGAAACTTAATGATGGCTAGATCCCCAGTTTGCACTCCAGTCGTTTACGTCCAAATGGTCTCATTAAGTTCAAAGACGTAAATTATTTTAAACCTTTTATTTACGTTATTCTATTTTTATACTGTTTTTATTTTATCATACTATCTTGCTTCTTCGGTACAATGATATTGGACTCTTTGAGTGAAGTATGATAACACATATAAATTGGAGCATAAAAAAAACAAACTAAAATGTGTACAATAGCTCTGAGTCATATAATTTAACATAAATATCCGTTAGATAGAAAATAGTAACCGTCTTCAAGTGACACTAACCTATACGGTCCTTGTAGATAAACCCATCCCCGTCACTTGACGTCTCCTAGACTCTTATCTGTTTTACACGCTTTGTTCAAACACAAGTAAACAAGCATGATCTTTGCCCAGAAACCAAACCTTCATCTCGTTCCAGATAAAAATACCTGTTGCTAGTACCCTAATATACTAGTTGTTTATATAATTAGATAAAATTTGACCACTGCTACACTGTATGTACACCCCCCCCCCCGTCGGCTCAGCAGCAAGTTTGAAGACTTATAACCCTAAAAAGTGGGTTTCGATACCCATGGTGGTCACAGATTAGCGCTTAACAACAACCAGACTGTATATATATATATTCATAAGAAATTACACTTTTCATGAAGCAACAACCACTGGTATTATAAACTGTTGTACCATTATATCAATGAATCAAAACAACGTTATTTAACAGTATACACAAATATCCTAATAAACAACGCAAAGAAATAAGCTTAATATTTCATCAAAGCAAGCATGAAATACCCCAAGTATGTCATTACACACTTTTCTTCTCTGTTTTTGAATTCATTATAAACTTTTCTAGCCATATTTTTTTACATAACTTTTTAACATTTATTCTCATTATTGATTAATTTATTTTTATTTCTTTTAGTTTTAAGCTGACAAATTGTAATACTTTATAGCTTAAAATAAATTTAAGCTACCGATGAATCGCAGATGAAATTTTAATTTTTATTATTTAGTAAGAATCTTGATAGTTAAGCTACTGATGAATCGCAGATGAAATTTTGATTTTTTATTATTTAGTAAGAATCTTGATAGTTAAGCTACTGATGAATCGCAGATGAAATATTGATTTTTATTATTTAGTAAGAATCTTGATAGTTAAGCTACTGATGAATCGCAGATGAAATTTAGATTTTTATTATCTAGTAAGAATCTTGATAGTCAATAGTTTTATGCCAGACCTTCGTGTTTTTATTCTTATCCATTTATTTACTTATATATTTTTTTCTGTATTCCTGTAGTTTTAAGTTTAAATCTACAATTCTCCATGACATTAAATAAATGTTGTATTTCCACTATTTTAGGATATTTCTCCAACTTATAATTAACTATATTTTTATTCCTGTTATTTAAACATTTTTGTACAATAACTATAATTTTAATTTTACTTATTTGATAATGTTTCCATTCAATCTTACTTTATTTGCTCAGTTAACGTACTAGAAATAAAAATGAATTAATCAACTATTTGATGTTTCTAAACTTTTAATAATAAGTTTTATATTTCGTTACATTGTTAGAAATGTGGCCGTCATATCCTGCAATGTTCTGTGTTTACTTTATTTCTATTTGTTTACCACATCACCATATATGAGAAAATCCATGCATAGTTGACCTATAAATGTGGCCGTCATATCCTGCAATGTTCTGTGTTTACTTTATTTCTATTTGTTTACCACATCACCATATATGAGAAAATCCATGCATAGTTGACCTATAAATGTGGCCGTCATATCCTGCAATGTTCTGTGTTTACTTTATTTCTATTTGTTTACCACATCAC